AGATGATTTATTCTTTGCTAACAGCAGGTTGCCACTAAAGCAACGCAACTGATCTGTAATGTCTATTACTGGAATTGCAACATGGCCTATCAAACATAAACTGCATTGACAGTTTTAGAACTTCTGAGACATTATTTACATTGCATCTTCATGAATTTGTGTGACATCAGTGGTACATGAACAGTCCTGTTTTCAATATTTATCTATTTATTGCGTAGTCCACCATTACTTGTTGTAATAATGTTTAATTGTAATAAACATAATACCTTGGTCTCGATTATTGATTAATAGTAATTGCAAAGATTGCAGAGCCATTCCAACACAATTATATAAAAACCAAGTAGTAAACACTGTATACTGTGTATCACAAGAATGTTTGCCTGACAAAGTATTTGAAAGTTTCAGCAGCAGATTTGCCAAGCTTCACACAAAATTTAACATATGCATATTGCTTGAATTTTTCAGTCACTGTAAAGATCACAGCCATTTCAACACATCATTACAAGACCTTTTGTGATAATTGAACACAAGTAGATAGCACAATGTTTAGATTGGGTGCCAATGAACGTTATCTACATGCACATTTGTTTTGCACTGTACAGTTCTTATACAATCGTATTATTGATCTTGGTTATTGATTTTAGGCCATTCAGGGAATAGCAGTTTATTTTTCACTCCCTAAGTAAATGATTACCATGGGGAGATTATAAATACCTCCATTTCATATACTAATTCTCTGATGGTCTGAGAATATATATATGATTTGGCAAGTCCTTAGAAGTTTTTCATGTGAGGTTTTAGATATACAAATAAATCGTTAGTTCAAGGGAGATAAGACAACAGCAAAACATACAGAAAAAAAATAAACTGGCATATCATATTGCTTCCTTCACTATCTGAATGTAAAAATATGTAAGAGTGTGATCATTTGCATATGGAAAACAAACAATCTATATGACATGTTCAGCAGAGGAGGGGCGGATTCCACATTTGATAAATATGCGGCAATGCATGCTAAGAGGTTTCAGGCAGTTTTGACCAACATTTCTTTTCATGGTTAACTGTAAGGAATTGTAAATGTAGGACTACCTTATACTTAAGTAAAATAATAATTAATATTTATTAAGAATTTATTACAGGAAATATCAAGTTTTATGGAAACATAGTTGACAATTATATAATTAGTTACACAACAAATAAATAAAGATAATATAAATTTTCATGCTATATTAGATTCGTTGTCAGGTATTTTTAATTTTCTCCTTTGTTACTGAAAACTTGTTTTAGAAAAATTTGGCTGCAATGCTAAGTTTCCTAAGTTGAATAAACTGGAGCTATTTCATTTAAACTTTGTTACCTCTCTTTTTCATTGTTGCTTTTAGATCGCTTTCTTCCAGTCATTTTGATGGGCAATAGCAAAATTCTGAAATTTACAATGACCTTATTCCATTTCAAAAATAAAGCCTGTAAAAAGTAATATTTCAAATTAATATATGACCAAAAATAAAATGCTTTTGACAAAATACTTTAATGATTTCACTATAATTATGTAACAATAATGTAACGATAATCTGCAGACAAATCTACGGTTTATGTTACCTCATCTCATTGCATGGTTACGAAGTATAAACCTAAATTGAGCTTGAAATATTGTGTAATCGGCTGTAATTTTTTGTAAAATACATGGATATGATATAATGAATAATTTGTAGTGAAAAAAGCAATTTTCAATTTTTTGTTGAATACACACCTTCTCCCCCGAACATGTCATATAAACTTGAGTAGTCATGAGGGAGACAGATTTTGTCTGTAGCAATTGTGAATGACTTGGGAATACTACTACTACTACTACTACACATCATGACAATGGTGTTGCTGATAGGATGCCTGTTACCTCCAGAGATGGTTTGATACAAGCACTTGAATAAAAGGGTTGAAAGACAACAAAGCAAAAGGTGGAAAAAAATGAGACAATGGATTTTTTATGGTAACTGTGGGAGTTGATGATGTCAAAAAAGTAATGTCTCAACCTCTGAACTTAGAAGACTTGACTTTTAAGAAAATAACTCAAATAATATTAAAAAACATACAATCAAAACGTGGTTAGTCATGACATGTAACAAAATTTATGTCCATGAAATGATTGATTCATTTTCTATGGCTTATCAACTCTCTGCAGATTATTTAAAGCCAGAAAATATTTTTAAATTGTAAGAATTTTTTTTTTTGAGATAACATTTTTATATCTCCCACAAAATGTGAGTACCAAACTACAGACACTGAAGGTTGCTTTGAACTTTTCACATTTCATTTCATATTTTTTCCTTTTGTAAAATGCCCTATCAATATATTTGTTAATTTTTCCTTGTTCAAATTCTATGTCTTATTTTACATTTAGACTTACAGGAGTTCACCAAAAATTGTTAGTGGGTCAAATGTACCAGGAGCTTATAAAATCTCATCAAAAGTATTTATACCTGCTCCAAGACAAATCAGAGCTCCTCTAATTATGTCATATTCTATAAATGAAAGAATATGGTATGAAAAGAATAAAAGGTTCAGAAAAGACGAATTTTCTAGTGCAAAAAATCTATAATAGAGCTAGAAAAGAAAAACAAAGTAGCTAAATTCCATGCATATCAAAAAGGGTCACGAGTCAAAGATGTAGAAATGGAGGAACAAATATCAAAGGGCATTGAGAATGATAATCATAATGAAAATAATCAGGACATGCCTATAAAAATGGAAGTAGATGATAACAAGGGGGACAAAAATTTAGATCTCCAAAACACTAATGAAAGTTCTAATGAAGATCAATTGATAGTCATGTATATAAAAGAACACAAGACAGATCAAGGTTTCATAGAAATATTCTACAGAAGAGGGAGAAGTAAAGCAAGAAAATTCCAAAAATGGAACAGAGTGTAGAAGAAGCAAAAGATCGATCAAGGGCATAAAGCCCCTCTGTTTCAGGGGGATGTAATGATGTGTAAATGTAAGAGTTTGATCATTTGCATATGGATAAGAGACACTATAAACTTGAGTCATGAGAGAGAATTTGTCAATAGTGATTGTCAGAGACTTACAAATATTACTAAGAATAGACATCATGACAAAAAGATAAAACCGAAACACAATCTCATATTTAATCTCAGAAAAACGTTTTGAAAATTTAGAAAACCATACTCTATGTATAAACATTTAAGTGACCAGGATATTGTTGACTGTGTCAGAAAATGTTAAAGAGGAGGAAGATGATAATGATATTACCCATGTCAAAGTTTAACAACCTCAATTTCCAAATTCAAATGACTGAAGCAATGATTATGTTTGACAAATGTTTAAGTTGGTTGCATTTTCAATCAGAAGTTAACTTTACAAATACAACTATTTTAATCCAGCTTTGGGAGTTAGTAGCAAAAAAAAAAAAATGCAAGGCATGAGGAAAACAGACAAAAATTGACACATTTTGTCATAAAAAAAAATAAACTAGACAACTTTGAACAAAGCTTTTTAAAATGTTAATGTGATGAAAGAGAAAGTCATTTGTCGTGAAAAAGAGCCTGTGTGTTTTGTATGATATGCCGAAGACAAAATAACCAAAATAAATAATGCCAGTAGCAGCTGTCTTGGATACGCTTTGTCTTATCCAACTATCAACAACTGAAAAGAAATTATTCTGTCGATAAAAGCAGTTGCCATTTTGAAAACAGTGAGTGTTACATTCATGACCATCTTACTTTTTGGTGTGTGTAGGTTTTGTACATGACTGTTGGATGGTGCAGTGGATTTCTAGCTGTTTACGTATATTTGAATTTTTTATATTGGACCTATGATTTGTGATGTCAACATTTGTTTCTGTCCGCTGCATCTTCAAGCTTGGACTTGTGATTTGTTTGTTTCATTTTGAACTTGAGGTACCACATCAATTTTCTAATAGTTATTTGATGATATACATTATGAAATGGATAAACTCCGACAATTATTTAAGTCATTTTTTGTGTTTATACGTTCTTTTTATAGATACAAATATTTAAGTAAATGCTCTGTTTATAATAAACAGTATTAACAACATTTACCAGCCTGAATGTCCGACAAATTTTCATAGAATAATCAGTTAAGGCACGTCAGGCTATATGATGGTTCTATATAGTATACAGGTTCGATTCCTGTCAGAGAACGCATATTTTCTATGACAATTTCTCAGACATTCTGGGCAGGTAAATGTTGTTAATACTGTTTATTATAAACAGAGCATTTATTTAAATATTTTATCTATAGAAAGATCGTATAAACATAAAAAATGTCTTAAATTATTTGATGATATAAATGTTAAATTTCTTTCAGAAAATTATCTTTTCCTTCGTCATTTTTCGATAATTTGACAATCTCCTCACAGATGAAGAGGAGACTTGAGGCAGCAGAAATATGGTTCTACAGGAAGATGCTGAGGATACCATGGACCAAACATGTGAGCAATGACAAAGTTTTAGAGAAAATGTAATCAAAATGGACACTTGTACTTAACATCAGGAAGAGACAGTTGAAATTTCTAAGAGAGATAATGCAGATAGAGGGATTGTAGAATCTGATACTAAGATTGAAGGCAAGAGGGATAGAGGAAAACAACACATATCCTACTTAGTAAGCTTAAGTAAATGGATGATTGAACAAGATTTAAGTGTAATAACAAAGAGAGAAAATTTATTAAGAGCTATAAAAAGACAGGAAATTTTGGAGAGCCATGTTTGTCGACACTCTAAAGGAACATGGCATACAGAAGAAGGTATTCAATTGTCAAGAATTTTGAATTATCTGAACATATTTTTTTTATGACCTGTTCCAAGATCTGGATAATTGAGGAATTACTGTATATAGTTATGAAGTTATAATTACAACCTAGAAACTTTTAAATCAACCTAAGTTCTATTCCTCAAGTGCAAATGTGGAAATTCTGACTTAAGTGTTTTAATTCCTTAAAAGGTAAATAATATCTTTACCAATTTGTTGGCAGTCATAATGGCCTTGTCTGAGTCTCCAAGATTCAAATGGCATCTGGCTATTGACTCCATCATGTCCTGATACATAGAACTGTTGTGTTCAGGAAGGAGCTCTGTAATTAAAATACAAATATTTACAAATAATATTTTAATACACATTCTGAAATAATGTGAAATATACAAAAGTTATGTAAGCAAACAAATATAAGACGGTATAGGAAAATTCCCAGACTATGTGCTGTGACTGATTAACTGATTTGTTTTTTTACAGCTTATCAACCTTTTGTAGGTTATTTAAAACCAGAAAATATTTTTAGATTGTAAAATTTTTTTTAGAGATGACAACAATTACTGATACAAGTCCTGCTAATTAACCCATAGCTGGGAGGGGCAAAAGTGGATTCATACCTTTCCCAAGGATATTTGCACATAAGTGATTATAACAAACCTGACTGGAAATGGATCCTGGCTCTCCAAATTCTTATTCAAAGTTGTTATCCATTACACCACCTACATATCCAAGCTTACACCACCTGGTATTTACAAGTGGTCACTCATCTAGATGTTGCCCAACTTCAGTAATTGGACAAAAACTGGTGTTTCAACATGATATGACTGTAAGCTGATCATGAAGATAAAGAGGATAGATAATTGACCCTTGATTTAAAGAGTGGTCACTCATATAGGTAACTAGCAGTAGAGCCTGGCGTTGCCCGGGAATGTAACAAATAAGATATACATCAATTATCGACCATCATAAAGACTGAAAAATAAAATTGACAAAGATTATTGTTTAAGGTTGACGGACACGCATGTCTTAATTAGTTTTTTCTTTTTTTTTTTTCTTTTTTTGAGTTTTTTTACGAATTGGTCAAACCCAAACTCAAACAAAAACATTGTTTTCAATCGTTATGAGTCTCTACCGATTGAACAGAATTTTATTATAAACAATTGTCTTGTAAATGGAATTTTTAAAGCATTCTGAATGTAAAAATAAAGAAAAAAGTGTGCAAGACAATAAGAAACACTACCTGCCAAAAAAAAGTGAAGTTTTGTTGAAATCGGTTGAAAAATGTAGGAAATCCGATCCCATATACACACACACACACAAACAATCTGGGTTTTATAATAAGTATAACTCGATATGAGTTGTCCCCCTTTCATTCTCGTGATGCCTCTTAATCGTGTTTTCAAATTGCTTTCGTGCAAAAATAATTGTGTTTTTCCAATTTTTGGCGCTGTCAGAACCACCGCAAGGTAATTTTACGTAGTCCTGTGAAGTTTTGTTGAAATTGGTTGAAAAATGTAGGAAATCCGATCTAATATATAAACGTACAGACACACACACACACAATCTGCGTTTTATAATAAGTAAGATGATCAGGCTTGATATTGCTTAACTTTGGTGATTGTAAGAGAAATGTACTGTGCAACACAAATGTGCATGTAGCTAATGTTCATTGGAATGGCTCTTCAATCTTTACAATTACTGACAAATTCAAGCAACATGCCTGCTTAAAACAGCTCTCGGAAAAGATCTCAAATCAGTGGATAAGTGGGGCAAGGAATGATGTGTAAATTTTAATGCCTCCAAAACAAAACTTTTCATTTAATCAGCATATAGAACATTTTCTGTTTTCCATCACTCTGGAACTAGCTAAATGTAACCATAAATTCTATTCTAATAGTTTCTCTTCTCTCACTTCTTCCCTATGGAACTTTCTTCCAGTTTCTTACATCCCTGCCACCTCTAATCTTTTGTTTTCCTGAAACACGTTCTTTTATTGTCCTTTCTCCTTGCTAAAGTCTTCTCATTCTCTTTCACTAACCCCTTGCGTTTTAATGGCATTATCATCTTGCTTTTGGTGAAATGATTAAATAAAAATAAAATTAAATTTTTTTTGTGAATACATCAACAAAGATTAGGTGGTGATATCAGAAGTTTTTATATAATTGTGTTGGAATGGCTCTGTAATCTTTACATTGACTAACAAATCCAAGCAATAAATTACATTAAAAATTTTGTGAGAAGCTTGGTAAATATGTTGCTGAAACTTTCAAATACTTTGTCAGGTAAACATTCTTGTGGTCAAACACAGGCTTTTGAATGGCATGTATGTTTGAAGGCCAATCAACTTAAGGATCCATCAGCTTTTTTATATACTTGGAACCAGTTATGGAGTGTGCCAGTAGATACTAGTCTGGGAACTTTCTGATACCATTAGTAATGAGTTAAGGTCCTTGTTTGTGCATGAAAACAATACCTTTTGAAAGGCTTGTAGCATTAAAATAAATTAATTAAAGTGAGAGAGAAAAATCATGAAGAAGGGTTACATTGAGCAGTGATCAATGAGAAAAAATAACCAATTAAAAATTTTAATTCAACCCCATATGTAAATGGAGGAAACAAAACTAGCAAACATTGAATAATGGTTTAACTTAACAATATCATGTAAAGCCAGTATAATTAAAATTCATTGCTAGCCTGCCAAACCTGGGGCTAGCATAATTAATAGCTTCTTAGATAAAAATTAGTTAGTCAACCTAATGAAGGTGTTTTTTTATTTCAAATTATTCAAAACTCTAGGTTGAATTATAGGAAAGGTCAAATCCTTAGTTTTGAGCCACTTGTCAGCATTAGGGGCATCTGGTTTTCATACAAAAAAGAATCCTTGAAGCTTAACATTAATTTCAAGAAATTTAGAGTCGAGAAAAATTGCCTATTTAAGAAAAACACATGGGTTGATAAAGGAATCAGGCCATCATTCAGATGCCATGAAGCAGAGCAGACTATGAATGAAGGAATACAAAAAGCACAATTACTATACTAAAAGGCAAAAAGAGAATGCTACAGTACAAACTTCAGTACTTATCCATCAGATCTTTATAATAAACAAGAAGTTGAACACTACAAAAGTGTTGGGTAACTATTGATTATACACAGAAATCAAAGATATTGCAAAGAACAATCTGACAAAGTTCAAACCATTACCGCAAATTCTTTCAGTTCATACAGGTTATACTTTTTCCAGAAACCATTTTAATTCCCCTGCTACATTAGATGAGATTAATGTATGTTAAAATAGGACAAATGAAGGTAATAATAAGAAGAAGAATGACAGTGAATAAGTTTTTGAATTATGTAAATTTATACTACTTAAAACAAAAGGTTAGGAAGAAATACCCATCAATACTGGAAAGCAGGATAAGTTACTAGACTTGAGAAGCCTATTTTCCAGAAAAATCATTTTAATAGAAAGATTTTATAAATTTCAATTGAAAGTAGCTTTAGCTACTCAGTCAATAGTGTTTCCTTATAAAGAAACGGATGATATTACCATTACAAATGGGGAGAAAAAATAGCACATTCTAATCCCAGCCTGATAGCCAAGGTGTGAAGTCTAACTTGGGTAGCACTAGCTGTTCATTCAATGAATGCTGAATGTTTTCTTATAAGGAAAGGGCTATTACCACCATTGCCATATGTGGATGTATAAACATATTAAAAAGACAAACAAAAAATATGAGGATAAAGTTATGATAATCATCCAGTGAATTATAGAGTTGCTTGCATGTGTTTACATTAGTAAAGAAGAATGTGTTTAAAATATGCACTTACTGAGAGCTTGCTCATACTTTTCCAGGGCTATTTGATATTTCTTCTGGCCAAAATTGTAGTCCCCACTGAATTTCAGCAACTGCATCTCGTCCTCACAACCCTGAGTTGAAACCTCATTTTCAAACCACTACAAAAAAAAAAAAAAAAAGTTGTAGGTTATTTAACACTAGCTATGATTAAAACTTCTGCTGCTGTAGACATACTTATACATCTCCGTGAAACTTGCCTTGCTGCTGTCAACATATACGTTTTCAAGATAACATGAAATTTTGGTCCTTAGTGTTTGTGTTATAAAGTAGCTAACGCCATTTACAAACCAACATATATGCATTGTAACATACAATACAGTCTGTTTTTATGATATATTGTGTGTTGGAGGTGTTTACTTTAGTCAGTCCTGCATTTTGATTGAAAGAAAAATGGTAGGGTCTATGAAAAATTGCTGTCAGCATCTTTATAATCATTTATTTCCAGAAAATGGAAATTTCCTGGGTTTTTTTTTCTAAAAAAATGGGCCATCACAGTCAGGCAACAATAACAATGCAGCATGAAAATGTTATCTACTCAGATTTTGTTATGATGAAGTAAGAAACCTAACAATCTAAAATAATCATACTTATAAATTCATTGCATCATTATTCAGCTATCAAAAACGCTCTTCTAACTTTTTATAACTTTATACCACCTTTCCGATAAATTATATATTTGATTATACTAAATTAGTGCAAAGATTTCCAGTATATTTTTTGACAAAATCATTTATTTATATAAATTCATTGTATCATTATTCAGTCATCAAACAATTTGCTCTGGCTTTTGATAATCATACCAAAATATTTAGTTTTCTAAATTGATCATAAAGCCAGCCCCAAATACACAGACAAATATTAACATAAAAGTCAATAGGCTATAGAATTAATGTGTTATAAATAAAAATATTATTTACGGTATTTACATTCAGACTATTGTGCTCATCTTTGCTAATGTTATCACAATGTTTCGGCCATTGTACCCTCTGGCCTTCTTCAGGTGTATATTGATTTGGATAACCTACAGGGAATTCTGAACTGAACCCTTTATTTAATCTACAGAGGGTAGATTGTTCTCATTCTATTGACCATGTCTAGGAATATCTTATCTAGTTCTTTTAGTACTGCTCAGTTGTTGGCCTCCCCGTTTCCAATGACTTCAATTACACACTGCCCAGCCCAGGGACTGAACTCACAATTATAATGGCAACAAATTCATAAACAAACGCTTTATTCCACTAAGCTATTGTCCTGTAGTGTCTTTATGGTTAACTTGGAGCCTTAAACCTAACTTGCCTTCTGATAAGTGCTGCTGCTGTCATGCTTGTCTGCTGCTGCTGAAACCTAACACAGAGAACATAACCAAGAACAGCATGTACTCCATTCCTTGCAGTTGTGGCGAAGAATATAAAGGTGAAAGAAGTAGGGTTAGAGGAACATTGAAAAGCTGTAGCGAGAGTGAGACAATGAAATTGAGCATGGTTGATCATGTATAGAGGAAAAAAGAGTAGTCATCAGTCCCTATGGAATGAAATGAAAATATTGGACAAAGAAGAACACTCGAAAGTTAGATGTCTGAAAGAATCAGTGCATATACTGGGCTATGGGACCTCCTTAGTAGGCCTAGCATAGAAATAAATACAATATGGGAACTGCTAATAAAGAAAGAAAGAAAAATGACAGCAACTCTTCAACTGCAGCAGTCAAACATGATAGGCAACACCACTAATCAGCAGGAAAGTTAGTTTGAAGTCTCCAAATTTACCACAGAGACAATAACCTAGTGGAATAAAGCATTTGTTTGTTAATTTGGTGACATAGTAATTGTGAATTTAATCTTCAGGTCCGACAGTGTGTACTTGGACTCCATGGAAATGGGCAAGCAACAACTGAACAATGCTAAAAAGAAGAACTAGATGAGATATCCCTAGACAAGGGCAGTGGAACAAGAAGTTTACCCACATAGATTAAATAAAGGGTTCAGTTCATAATTCCTTGTAGGTTACTCAGATTGATATACACCTGAGGATGGAGAGCACAATGGCCGAAACATTGTGAAAACAACAGCATAAATAAGGACAATAGTTTGAATGTAATTAGCATAAACAATGGTAACTCCTCATTCCAGAAATTTAGAGAGAAGAAAAAAAAAAAATAATTAATTAAAAATTAAAATACATCTAAAAATTAAAAACCTTAAAGAAAATTGATAATTAGTAATTAAGGACAAATTAATTGACAATTTACATGGACCACTTATATTTTTGCTTGATGTCATTTCAGAAAAATATTTCGGCATGGCTTTCACCACATTCATCACTATCTACAAATTATTTCATATCATTCTCTAATTCAGTAACAAAATATGAAGATCCATGACAAAGAAATTTCTTGTAAATATCATGTTCACTGCTCTTGGAAGAAGGAAATATATTTTTTGCAAGATATCTCATCAGCATGATAAAAAAAAAATTTTTTTGAGATGTTTCATCAACTCCTCCCAAGTGGATAGAAAAAAATGCATAGCAATTCTTGAAATACACGTTAAGAATCCTTTATCCTAAATTCTTAGGACTGGAAATACTTCAGTTTTGTTTTGGATTTTGGAATACAGGCTATTTAATTTGTATATAGCATCAATAAAATGAGGCAGCTTCGGAATAAAAACCCAAGCATAGATGATATATCTTTACATTTCATAACACAGCTTTTACATATACTCTGAAGCTAATTTTATATAAATAAAATATACTCTGAAAGTAGTTTTTTATAATACTTAATAAATTTTGTGTACATACTGATACAGGTAATGATGCTAGTCATGTAATGCTCACACGGATTTTTAAGTGGTGAAAAAAAGTGTTTTGTATTTTCTGTATGTGTACAAAAAAAAACATGATCACTATTAACAAAAAATACAACACCAAATGCTACTTCTACATCAGGTATGAGAAACTGGAAGGAAAGAGTACATCATCGATGACATCACTGTGAGTGTGAAAAGGAAAATTCAATAAGTTATCAGTGTCTACAAATGATGTTGTGTTTTGATTAAAATGTTACAATGCATACAGTATTTGTATAAAAACAAAACATGGATTCTGATTCACTATTCACATTATTCGGACTATTTGTCACCATATTTATGACAACATTTCGGTCGTTTGTATGCTCTGGTCTTCTTCAGGTGGTTGGAATGTCGAATTGAACCCTTTATTTCGCTCACTGGAGTAGACTGTTCTAGTTCCATGTGTCTAATGGATGTTAGTTATCAGTTATCTCCTGCTAATTCCCCTATCTAAGTTCTCCACTGCCTTAACCAGGTATTGAACTCACACTCTTTGGGTCCTGTCAGTGGATCTAACCAACACCTTTATGCACTGTGAAATGTGTCCTTAAGGACACATGGCACAATGGAATTATAGACAGATACTGACAGATTCTGATTACAGTTAAATATAATAAAAACTGAAAAAAAAAGTCAGTATTTTATTTGTAATGCTGCAATGCAATAATCATGCTACGGGGAGCCATGTTGCTTTCTGAAATTTTCCATTTGTGGCAAGTGATGTCAGCACCTGAAAAACTTTCAGATTTTGTAATTTTGGGTAAGGGATTCTCAACCTGTATTACCTAATAAAAACTGACAACATTTTCATAATTTCAAAAAAAAACCAAAAAAAACTCACCAACATGGAACAAAATTTTGCATTGTAGTTGGTTGGAGGAGGTTTTTCCTGTTTGGCACTTGCCTCATAAAAAGCGTCATCAAAATTTAATCCCAGTTCCATTATTACTCAAATGGACCTAAAGTAGAACAAAAAGAAAAAATGTTTTTTTATGGTTTATCAACCTTTTGCAGGTTATTTAAATTCAGAAAAAATTTTAGATTGTAAGAATTTTCTTGCAATAATAGAGATTTTTACAGATACAAGTTCTACTAATTAAGCCATTACTAGAAGAGGTTAATTAATACCTTTTCCAGGAGCAATTTGTACATAAACGAATATAACAAACCTGACTGTAATTGGAACTCAGCTCTCTGATTAACAATTCCGAACTGTTATCGATTACACCACCCACACATCCAAGCTTACAGCACCAGGTATCCCCAAACGGTCACCTATCTAAGTACTGACCAGGTTCAATGTTTTTTTTAACTTCGGTGATCATGAGAACTGGTGTTTTAATATGATGTGGCTATAAGCCTAAAAAGAAAGAATATATATTACGTATAATAATAACAAAAACTAGGATTGTGTTTCACCAAAAGAAACCATTGACCTATTTGGAGGATAACGTCTTTTAAGGAATCTATCTTACATATAAATCTATCATTTGTTCATGCTTTGAATGTTGCTGCTATGTATGGTCAGGTGCTCCTAACATATTTAGAAATTCTTGATAAATTCCAAAGAAGAATATGCAATGTTATTGGTCCTGTCCTGGTAGGTCAGCTTCGGTCACTTTCCTACTACTGTCATATAGCTTTCTGCTGCCTTTACTATAAACTGAAATTGGTAATTGTTCTGATGAACTTTCCTCTATGGTATCTAGACTTTATAAATTTAAGCACAGCACTAGATTGGCGTCAAGGTCATAGCATTTTACAGTTGAAATTGCTAGATGGAATCATAAGTTCTATGATAATAGTTTCTTTTATCGCATTTCACACTTGTACAACTCTCAGCTTCTTGCTTCCCAATCAAGTTTAATCTTCAAAAATTTAAATGCAATGTCAATCGTTATCTTTTGTCTTCTTAATTCATGTTCTTTTAATATTCTCCCTCCTTAATAGTGCTTTTTTCTTAACTTCTTTAACACTTAATAATCCCTTGCATCTTAGTGGATTAATTAAAAAAAAAAGAAAAAAGATAAGCAATCACTCTAAGTGCTCAATATTAAGAAATAGAGCATTAATAGTAAAAATACAAAAAAATAAAAAAATAAAGTTAAAAAACTTATCATCCCAACTTCAAGTTTTGCAGATGTAATCATAGTTCAAACTGAATTATCTAACCACCTGTCAAGATCATCTTTTATCCTCATAAAAATTAAGAAAATTTTACATTTAGTTGAAATATCAAAAATAAAGACAACAGTAATTTAAAAATTTCACAATTATTTGGGAAAAAATGCTGAAAAAAAAAAAATGCAGTTTCTTAAAAGGTCTTTGTATAGACGCTTCAGAAAAATTGTTCTCCTGGATGTAAGCCTCATATCTATTACTGCAAAATTTGTTATTTAAAAATTGAACTATCTAATCAACTGATGAGTTGATTACATCTGCAAGACTTGAAGTCAAGAAGATCAGTTTTTGAACTTTTTATTTTATTCATCTATTTGATGTAATGTCTTGGTCTAATATCAGCCCTACTACTAAACACAGGATCATATATGCAAATGGAGAGAAAAATGAAAGAGGAGTAGGACTGATATTAGACCAAGGCGTGAAGACTGTCAAATATCTGAAAATATTCTGGTCATTAAACTGATAGGAAAGCCTTTCAACATCCATCATATTTGTATATGCATCAACAGCCCAAAGTACAGAAGAAGAAATTGAAATGTTTTACTGTATGCTAGACAATGAATTGTTAACAAGAATTGGTATTGAGGATATAACATCAGTGCTGCGCATCCATTGTCTTGAGTAGTTTGGCCACATTCAACGAGATTCATCATACATCAGGACTGTCTTGGAGTTCAGGGTTCCTTGTTACAGAGGTCAAGGTAGATCTAGGAAGACATGAAAGGACTGCATTGGGAGGGATGTGTGAAAGTGCAGCCTTGCCCACATCAGCCCACTTGACAGGGATGCTTGGAAAGGAGGAGTGAGAGCTAGCCAACTGCTGCCTACCCCAGTCACTAGGAAACCCACAGCAGTATAATCATAGCTCCGAATCTTGACTAGATAATGCCAAGACTCAATGCAAATTGCAAGAAATTACAAGCATCATGAGAGACCTGAATGCCTAAGTAGGTAAGGAGAGAGATTTTGAAATAGTTGGCAAATTTGGATGAGGAAAGCAGAGAAAAATGGGTGGAGCATGGCAAATGATCAGGTAGTATGTTGAGAATACCATGGACCAAACATGTGAACAATGACAAAGTTTTAGAGATAATGAAAACAAAAATTTCTTGGGGAGACATAATGAGGAAAGAAGGCATAGAAAATTTGAGGGAGCAAAGAAAACAGTGCATAACCTACCTACTTAGCTTGAGTAAATGGATAGGGAGCAAGGTTTAGGAGAGATTACAAAATTTATTAAGACAGGCAATTGCGGAGAGCCATGATTGCCTACATAAGATACAATCTTATAACTCCTATGACTTCTTTCATCTTTTAAAGCATTCCAGAGTTCTTTAATTAAAAAATACCATTAAACTATTTCAGATACTTTGTTTATTAGTTTGGGTTATATTAAATATACTCTCATCATGTTTTTAGATAGTCTTGTGCCATACGAAGTAAAGATCAAGATGTTTCAGAGTTTTTACAAGAATTCTTCACAAATACATTATTGGGCAAAGTTTAATATATGTACCTGAAAAGAAAAAAAATGATGTGTCAAAAATGGTCTGATAAAGTTAAAAAGTGTATATCACTTGGAAGCCCATAATTGCTAACTTTATTTTTGTAACTAAAACATAAAATAATTTTTAAGCAATTAATGGAACAAGTCAAATCCCTGTCTTATAAACATTTCTCTTAATATTAATTTTAAAATAATTCAACAGACTATATTACTTTATTTAAGGTAACTAAATTACCTTACTTGGTTTCTGTGGTTCGATACTGTGTATTTGAAAAATGATGACTTTATCATGGCCTCCATTGCAACTTTGCCTCTTGGCCTGAGATGCTAAGAGCAGTTTTGCGCCTGAACTGGTGTAAGCAAAGGCTGGGTAAATTTTGACCATTGGCCTGAGCATGTTAAGCAACTGACCTTGTGTCACATCTTTAACTCATTTTAGTAAGTGGTAAATACTATCACTTTTTGGCATTTTGGCCTACCAGATTCCAAAATATATTAGTAGAAAATACAAGCATAATAATCTCATCCACATGTTAAAAAAAAAAAAAAGATTAAAAATAATGGAAGTCCTAATAATAAAAAAGGGAAAGCCAACACTCAATAACATTAACTATGAACATGGCTACAATGTGCTGACCGTGTTTGGAAAATAACACATCCCTATAACTCTGGATACATACATATCACAATCCATAAATTCAGTTAAAAGTATAGCCGAAAGTGCTAGGAAATGAGGAACTTTTGGGTATTTTTTACACACTTTGTACCCAGAAAAGAAAACACTTGTACAAACACAAGAAAATTAAATGAAAAACTTAATCACAGTACCTTGTCAGTTGTCTTTAATGAAGTGTGTGTGTGTGTGTGTATATATATATATATATATATATATATATATATATATATATATATATATATATATATATATATATATATAAAAAAATATGAGCAATGCATATCCACGTCTATGTAGTGGGGAAGGTGTAACACTTTTTGTGATACCATAAACGTCTATTACCAACGGTTGACTCTTCTGGTTGCTTATTGGAACAATAAAAGAACAGCAATTAAGATAGAAGATAACTATTGACATTTCATTTAAAGTTTTGAAGATCAAAGTTAAATGGAAATCAAGAGATCAAAAGAAGGTTCTAGATGCAAGAAGTGTAGAGAAGAAACTGACATCTTAAAAACTGAATTTCATGTTACATCTTAGACTTGATAAATAAAACTCCATAATTATTCAATAGTGAATGCTGTTTAGTTTAATATTCAAGTAGTAATGAACATAAACAAGAAAATAAAGGGCAACAAAGCTTTAGATATTTTATAAGTACAATGCAAAATTTTTTAATATATATATATATATGTGTGTGTGTGTGTGTGTCCCTTCATGATGTAGACAATTATGGCTCTCCACAAAACCCTTTTTCTTTCTCTGTGAATTGCTATTATCTTTTGTGAAGATAGTGAACTGGTTACATGTCACCTTGTCCACAAATTTAATTCCGTTTTCCTTCTCTTAGACTGGCTGGTACTCAAGGCTAAAGAACCTCACCTCCTCTGCTATTTAATCCATAGCTAGGGATTGAGAGAAGAGATGGGTTCATAACTTTCCAAAGGATGAAAAGAACACTTATACTTAACATTAGGAAGAGACATTTATGAGGAACATAAGAAAGACTGCTTGGAAAATTGGATACTCACAAGACAGATTGAAGGTAAGAGAGACAGAGGAAAGCAACAAACAGCCTACCTGGTGAGCTTGAGCGAATGAATGGTGGGGCAGGGTTTCAGAGAGATGGCAAAAAGACAAAAGTCATTAAGAGATAAGGTTATTAAAAGGACAGGAAATTGTGGAGAGCCAAGATCGCCAACATCCTGAAGGGACATGGCACATAGAAGAAGAAACCCAAGAAAGAACCCCAAATGAGTGCTAATGCTGCTAAGACAATGGCAACAAAAAGGACACATGTTTAACATCAAGAAGAAACTGACATTTCTGGGCCACAGTGAGGAAAGAAGGTCTGGAAAATTGGATACTCACAGGACAGATTGAAGGTAAGAGAGCCAGAGAAAAGCAATGCACAACCTACCTGGTGAGCTTCAGTGAATGGGTGGCAGAACAGGGTTTGGGAGAGATGGCAAAAAGACAAAAGTGATTGAGAGCTACAAAAGACAGGAAATTGTGGAGAACCATGATCGCAAATGTCCTGAAAGGTCATGGCACATAGAAGATTAGTGTGAAAGTGAGTGCAACAGACTAGAGTTGAACACTGATCGCTAATTCCACTTTTCATGCAGATAACTGTTACACTACCTGTAAATTCTAATGTCATTTTTTTTCAAGTGATGAGTAAACTAATTATAATAACATGGTAATAATTTATATATAATTAGGTGGTATGGTGGAGTAATGGATTGCAGCTCAGATTGAGGAATCAAGGAGCTGTTTTTGAATTCCAGTTGAGTTCATTACATTCACTTATGTACTAATACCCTTGGGAAAGGTATGAATCCAACTCCTCCCACCACCACTAATGAATAAATAGTAGGACAGACTGGGTTTTATAACCTTGGGTAGCAACCGGCTATGAAAGAAACTGAATTCAAAACTGTATGTATCACTGGCAAAGCACATATTATGCAGCTAAAGGAAAGGATCATTTGCATTGACTCAATGACTCCAACTACAGTCAACCCCTAATAATATAATCATAACAACATAGTAATAATAAAAGAACATCATTTAATTAAAACATAGGAAATAACATTTTTATTCATGTACAAATTTTTACAATTTGTTAATTTTTATTGTGTAAATGCTTATCTGATAAAGTTTACAAATAATGATTTATTAATAGTGATTACCATTCATATGAAACTTCAGCGATGTTAAAAATAGTATGGTTCAAATATTATCATAAACTCATTACTTATTAATTTTTGACAATGCTAGTCAAAAATTAATAATGACTGACAATGCTTCAGCTAATACAAGAGTTCTCAACCTTTTCTGCATCATCACCCACTTTCACATGGAAAAATTTTTCCCTGCCTACAGCTTACAACCACATCACATTGAAAAACCAGTTCCCATACGATCAACAGAGTCAAGCAACATCAAACTTGGTCATTACCTAGATGGGTGACTGCTTGGGAAAACCAGGAACTGTAAGCTTGGATCTGCAGGTGGTGCAAGGGATAATGGCATGAAATTGTTAATCGGAGAGTTGTTCCAACTCCTGTTGGGTCAGTTATATTTACTTACGTGCAAATATCCTTAGGAAAGGTATGAATCCACTTCACCCAGCTATGGGTCAATTTGTAAGACTTGTATCATTAAACCATTATCTCAAAAAAAAAAAAAAAAAAAAAAAAAAAAAAAATTCATACAATCTAAAAATATTTTCTGGCTTCTAAATAACCTACAAAGCTGATCCACTGCCCACCTGTATAATAAATATCCAAAAGTATACCAAAATTGTTTGATAAAAGTTTGTTACTGGTTCATAAACTGACTTTATGATTTAGTAAAAAATACCAAAGGTAACAAATAATCGTGACTTATATGGCAGCAATTGTATTAAAGAACAAATGAAAGCAAATTTGACCAATGAAATATATATTTTATTTTTTTTTTTTTAAAGCATTTCACCCCAAGCAAGGAAGGAGCGCCACTAGCACGCAAGGGGTTACAGAGAGTGAAAGCAAGAGTAAAGAGGAAAGGATGAAGAGAAAGATGGGGAATTAGATAAAGGCATTTGGAGATGTCGATTGACATTACATTTGAATATTTGGAGATTACAGCTATCAGTGAAAGAGGAAGGGAATTCCACAGATGGGAAGTGCAAGACATGAAGCTATTGGAGTAAAAGAGATGGCAACATTTAACTGTTTTGACAGTGAATGGGTGGGACTGAGATGCCAACCTAGTAGCACGTTTAAATTCATGCAGTTTGGGAACCAGTGAAAGTAGCTCGTCAGAGGAGTTACTGTGAAAATATTTTTATGGTTAAGATTAGTGGCTGCAAGTGATAGCAAAAAAAAGTTAAATGATTTCTGTTCATAACTATAAACTTAAAAAAGTATACAATACTAGCAACTAATAAAAATTCAGCAAATATTTAGTTGTTCTTGGTCTTCCCTTATCTGATTTATATTAAAAAAAAAAATGTTATTTCATCTGAAGAACTATTTGAATGTTAATGACTCTTCTCAAAACTATAGTAAATACCAAAATATTTGTTGTTTGTGTCATTATATCTTAGAATGTGACCCAATTATTACCATTTAGCTTCCTGTTTTTTTGGAGAGTAGGTATACTGT